GAGTCCATCTCGGATGTCATGGCCTCTTGCCATTTTGCAGAGTCGGGGCTCGCATAGCTTGCTTGTATGTCGTCGGCTCATCACCATCCATGACTAGGATGTCCTGATCATCGGTTAAGATGATACCGAGGAATCTGTCTGGTTGAGATCTTTGTCGTTGCGACCTACGTAGGGTAATCGGTTGAGCATTTACATTGTCTGTTTGATTCTGACCAATCTTCTTAGATGCTTCCAAAGTATCTAGATCGTCAGTTTTGTCAGGTTGACATTGTTGCTCGTCCTCTCGAACTTCGTCGAGTTCGATTATCCTCCCACTTGTCATTTTGGAAAGGTGATCCTTCTCCAAAAAGACACCATCACGAGCAACAAATACTTTGTTCTCGGATTTATTGTAGAAGTAATACCCTTTGGTTTCTTTTGGATATCCCACAAAGAAACACTTATCCGATTTGGGGTGAAGTTTGTCCGAAATTAATCGCTTGACATATGCTTCGCATCCCCAAATCTTGAGAAAAGACAATCTAGGAGGTTTCTTAGTCCATAATTCATATGGAGTCTTTTCAACAGCTTTTGACGGAGCTTTATTCAGTGTTAGTGCTGCTGTTTGTAGAGCATGTCCCAAGAAAGAGATAGGGAGTTCCCTAAGACTCATCATTGATCGAACCATGTCTAACAAGGTCCGATTCCTCCGTTCGGACACTCCGTTCCATTGAGGAGTTCCGGGAGGTGTCAACTCTGAAAGAATGCTATTTTCTTTCAAGTGATCGTCGAATTCATGGCTCAAATATTCGCCACCTCGATCCGATCGAAGTGCTTTAATTTTCTTGCCAAGTTGATTTTCAACTTCTTTCTGAAATTCTTTGAACTTCTTAAAGGATTCAGATTTACTCGACATTAAGTAGACATAGCCATATCTACTATAATCGTCGGTGAAAGTGATGAAATATCGGTAACCTTATCTTGCGGGTGTGCTCATTGGTCCACATACATCCGTGTGTATTAGACCTAATAAGTCACTTGCCCTTTCTCCTAACTTGGAGAATGGCTGGTTTATCATCTTGCCTAATAAGCATCCTTCGCAATTTTCAAACGACTCTAAGTCGAATGAGTCAAGAACACCTTCTTGAAGAAGTTTCTTGATGCGTTTGATGTTAATATGGCCAAGACAACAATGCCAGAAGTAGGTTTGATTCGACTCGATGGTCTTAGCTAGTAGTATCAACTTTTGTCTAATCTTATGTAAAAGCATGCAATTTAATTGAACATAAATTTGTAAGACAAACTTGAAACAACTATTGTCAAAGTCTTACACTTGAAATTCCTAGGTGTCCAACACCGTGGATCATAATATGTTCAAAGCATGATGAAAAACTAGAAATAGTTTAATTAAATGTCATAGACAAAATAGTGCATGCAAGCACGACCAAAAAACCATCTTCGTCGTCTTCTTGTCCATGCACCAACACTTGATAAGCTTCTCACTTGGTTCCTGAAAAGGCAACATTAAGTGAGTCATACTTGGTATCTAATACCTATGATAAGCTTGATCCACAAGTGTTTAAGGAAGATACCTGATGTAGTCGGAGTGATCCCCTTTTCCTTGACGGGCATGCATTCCCTCTTGTAGTGGCCTTGCATGCCACAATAGAAGCATCTCATCTTTGCCTTGACCTTCTTGAACTCCTTCTTCTTAGCTCTCAAAGCCCTTTTGGTCATTCCATAGGCAGTGGCTTGGCTTAGTAGTTGCACCACCTCCTTGAAGGAGTGTGTCTCCTTTCCCGCAGCAATATGCACTCTAAGTGCATCATAGCCCGAGTAGAGTGAAGGAAGCAAGATATGCCCCGCCATCTCATCTTCCAATGGAATTCCGAGAAGCTGCATGTGTTTGAAGAGTCTAGTCATTCCAAGCACATGAGGTCGGAGGGGCATGATTGGTCTCAATTTAGCATTGTAGACCTTGGTCCAAAGCTATCGCCTTTCCTTAGCAAGACATCTCACGTTTGGTGGCTTTATCCTCATGTTTGAAAGTGACCTAGTCAAGTCAAACACGAGTCCATCAAAGTTGCCATTATCACTCTTGGTGACTCTTACATTGACAACGTCCTCAAGTGCTTTGAGGAACATGTCCGGAGGGTAGGAGGAAAGAGTTTCCTTCCAATCTTCCGGGATGGAATTTGTCATGAGTCGGGCCTCCTTCCAATAATAATAATAATAATAATAATAATAATCGGCACAACGTTGTTCGTGATACCCTTGTTGATATTTGTTTCCGCTCTGGGATTTCTGCAAGGAAGGAGGTCAACGTTGGGTTGACTGGAGGGAACGACGGGGCTCTTCGGCCAGCAGATGTGTTGCTTTACTCCTGGGATAGAGGCCTAGATGTATGGGTTGACTTGACGGGGTCTTCTCCATTGACTCAATCTAGGTTGTCTAGCTTCGTTCCTGGTCGTGTTGTATCGGCTGCGGCTCAGCGGAAGCGAGACAAGTATGGGGCGGCTATGGTTTTCTTCCTTTCTCCTTTTCTTCATTGGGGGAATTAGAGAAAGATGTTGTTGCATTGCTGAAGCGGGTTCAGGCGTTCGCTAGGACTCAGGATTTTGGTGCTCGTGCGGCTACTCACTTCTTTAATAGGATTGGGTTCGCTATAGTAAGAGGGGAGGGGGCCCAAATTGTATCTCGGCTCCCCACTAATTTCTTGTAAATTGTTTGACTTTGTAGGTGTTTTTTATTATTATAATAATAATAATAATAATAATAATAATAATAATTACTATAATAATAATAATAATAATAATAACAACAATAATAATAATCACTTGTGGAAATAGAAAAGGAGGCGGTTGCATTCCAAAAGTGGATCCAGAAGTCATGAATACTCACGACATTAGGCACGTGCTGCTGCTCTTATCTTCACTAGGATAGGGTTTGCTATAGCTGGAGGAGTGGGGGCCCAGATTATATTTCGGCTTCCCACTAATTTTTTGTAGATTTTATGACATTGTCTGTTTTTATATATATATATATAACAATAATAATAATAATAATAATAATAATAATAATAATAATAATAATAATAATAATAATAATAACATGAATAGTAGTAGTATTCGAAGTAGTACGTGAAGTAGGAATAAAGTAGTGGTGGGAGTTGTAATAAATGTATAATAGTGTAGTGATAACAAAACATCAACAACAATAGTGATAATAATAGTAACATAAAATTAGCGTAGTAGTAACAACGAATATGTAGTAGTTTGGTAATAATGTAATCAAATTAGTTAAAATAATAATTAGGATATAATTATATTTTACAATAACAAAAGAACAATAGTGTATAGTAGTAGTATCCATTAATTAGTATTAAAATTAGAGGAAATCAAAATCAATAATTAAGGGAGAAATAAGGGTAGGTGGTGTCACCTTTGGTGGTCGGCGGCTGGATGGCGGCAGGTGCTCGGGGTGAAGCTCACTACCACAAAACAAAAGCTAGAAGAAAGTAAGTATGGAGAAGGAAGGAGAAGAGAGCTTGGAGGAAGAAGATGGGGTAACAACAACGGACTCCATCCATGGCTATATATAGCCCCAACTCAGGCACTATTCCAACCACACTCATTAATGTTGCCAACAACATTCGAGAAATTTTGAAATTAAAACAAGTCCAACTTAATTAAATTCAATTAAGGTGCATAAACCAAAATTAATTCAAGAACCATTCTTTTAAAAATTTGGCTCAACTCACTACTAGAAAAAATGAAATAGACACCCCCCCTTTAGAACCGGTTCGTGAAAACCGGTGCCAAAAGAAATGGGCGGGGTTGAAAAATTCAGAGTTGGCACCGGTTCCAACCAAAACTGGTGCCAATCATTTAATTAGCACTGGTTCAAACCGGTGCCAACTTATAAAAAAAAATAAAAAAAATAAGTATGGCATAGAGTTGGCACCGGTTCGCCTTAAACCGGTGCCATTTATGAAAAAAAACCGGGTCTTCTTCGTTTTCATTTCATTTCCCATACTCTTTCTTTCTCTTGCTTTCATTTCCTCGATCTTTCCTCTTCTCATCTCATCTGCCTCTCTCTCTCCTCCATTGAAGCGTACTCGAATTTCTCCATTGAAGGGGCTTCTGAGTTTTCTCCTTTCATTCGATATTTCCTCTTCTCATACTCTTTCTTCTCTCTTTCATTCGATCTCCTTCTCCTTCTCTCTTTATACAATATTGGAGGTTAGGATTTCTGGGTGCGTCTATTTTGAATCAATTCGATGTGCGTGCATCTTCAACAACAACAAATTCGAATCAATTTCGAACCAAAAATCAGAAATTCGAGGTTAGAGTTTCTGGGTTATTTAGCTTTTTGAATAATTTTCGACTTTTATTAATTGCTTATTTTTTTTAAGGTTGGGTTGAATTTCTATGTTTTCTAAATATTTCGACTTTAATTGATTGTTTTATTTTTTGTTGAAGTGATATACCCTATTATCCATGAATCATTAAAGATTGATTCAATGCGCAGACGGTACTTTTCTAAAATTGTAGCTTTAGAAGTGTCATTGAATCTTGTTCATGCATCCACACAACAAGACACAAGTCTGCACTTGCTTGTTTCCGCATCCATGCTCAGTCATGCTTCTATATCAGTATTGAACACACTTGCATGGCACATGCATCTATTTGGACATTGAGCATATTCTCTGATGAGATTTTAGAATCAAGTGGGGATCAGTTATTCTTTGGTGAGCTTTTTTGTGTTTTCCCTATTTATGTACTGTAAAAATTGTCTTTTATTTTGGCACTTGACATGTTAATACAACAGCAACCACCTTTTAGTGTAGATCATGGCATACATAATCGTAGGAAGGTAGAGTCGTAGTGACCTGTGCAACATCACTTGAACTGGTTTTGGCACTACTATTGTTTATGAAACATGCTCTCTGAGTCAGTTTTCATGATATGATTTAGAATTATAGGATATGTGCATTTATGGAATGTGGATGAGGCCGGTTACCTATTGACGCTGTACATTTATGAAAAAAGCATGATGCTTTTAGAGACGTAAATGGTGATGGTTTACTAGAAATAAGAACCTGTTTTCCCCATTATATAAATTGATGTTAAGTTACTTAGGTATGAACAGATGATGAAGTCGAATGTGGAAATGTAATGACGTTTTTTTCTTGGTGTTTGTGTTTAATTTCAAAATAAAGGTTGTTCGATATTAATCCTTTCCATGCGACGTGTTACCATTGAATAAAATGTAGCTGTGCTCCCGTTACATGATACCTTGCTTCTCCTGTTGTTTGTGAATGCTATATTCCTTGCCTTATCCTTGATGGTTTCTCTATGAAACTGCCAATCTTTGTTTGCAATCATGAAACTTGATGTTGTTTGTTTTCAGGATATTAGAAAGGAGCAAAAGAGAGAAGGGAGGTTAAATATAGGGATGGTGTTTTTTGTGTGATCCTCTTGATTGAGTGACCGGAAATTATTGGTGTTGGTGAACTTTAGAAGAGGGATTTGGAAAGGAGAGAAGGGAAAGTGTAAGAGATCTTGTCTGATAGGTTAGGGAAATCTGGGACTTGAATTGTGATGACTGGATTGTATCAAGTTGGAATCATTCGAAATGGAGCTTGTCCTTGTATATTAACCTTTGTGGCTGTGTTTTGTGCACATGCTTGTTTGCTCATGATCATGTGAGTCTTATAATGGAATCCTAGACAAATTTTCATTGCTCGTACCAGCGAAAAAGCAATCTTAACCAACTTTGTCTGCCATTTCCTTTGTACTTTCAGCAAAGTATCTTGTATCTATCTTTGTTTGTTTTGGGTGCTATGATTATTGCTGTCACATTGCCTATCGAGATGCATAGAGTCTTGATGCATAATTGCGTATTGCATTCATAGTATCTTTGTAAATTGTGTTAGCTTATATTTTTAATGCGTTCCAGGCAAAACAGAGGAAAAGACTTTCAATTAGTGAACTATCTGACAGAGCAGCCAAAGTTCTTGGTGATCATCAGACAGAATCTGTCTTTGGTAGTTTTAGAAGACCAGCTTCCAGAAATGAGTTGTAAGTATGTGCCTCCTTTGCTTTGAGTTATGCTGGATTTTTTTTTCTTCATTCGTAATATGACGATTTGCTCTTCCATAGAACTATTGAAATATTTTCTTTAAACGTTTTACCTTCTGCTGAATGTATGCAATGATGTCTTCATTAAATTCTTATCGTCATATTAGTTTCTGCTACTATCTACCTTGTATATTGTGTGCGTGTTTGAGGGTATAGAACTACCAATAATTTTGCAAATATGAATCTTAATTGATTTTCTTACCCCCTTGCGTATGTGGCAGTGCCGTGTAGATACTTATTTGATATTTGTGTTCTTCATAGTTTATACTGCTTATTTAATAGTTTCCTCCAATAAAACCAAGGTTGAAATTTGTGAACAAAGAATAATCGATGTGGATCATGATGAACTGATTATAAAGAAAGATTAAACACTCTTTCTTCTTTGCTGACATCATAGGTTGAAAGCTAATAGGGCTATAAAGCTGCTTAAAAAGAGGGCAATGTCAAAAGAAAAGAAGATATCTGCTGCAATGGCTGCTGGACTTGATTGGGGAAGTGATGATTCAAAAGATGAAGTTCCAGTAATAATTGTTCACCTTAAAACATCAATTTCTCCTGGTGAAAAATTCTGCTTTTTTTGTATTGAATTATTCATTACACTTTTCTTTGGGATGGGTTCAGCAACAACCACTGAAGGAGCCTCCATTGCCCGATCTCTTCAAGGACGAGGAGCATTATAACCTCATTTCAGATGTCAGTCATTATTTCGCGACTATTTTGCTAATGTTGCTTGCTTGAATAATAAAACTACGTTGATTCATTTTATTTTGATACCAGTGCTACTATCCTTCTACTGGCCAAACTTTAATTCTTACGTACTTTCTAGGATGTTGTATGCTTCACTTGAATTTCTCGTTCAACTTCTTTGATTTTACTTATCTCGCAATATCTGATTACACTTATTAGGAAATAGTGAAATTTTTCTAAGTGTATTTATTGAGAGTTAGTGACAGATAGATCATTGACTTTGGTTTTAATTGACACACACCAGCTTGTTTTGTAGGGTAGAATTTATGATGCAGGCTTCTGTCCAAACTCTACTTACTAATTTACTACCTCTATCCCATTTGTATATAAGGAAAACATATTCGTGTTGGATGTTGTTGGATTCATTTCAATGTGTATTTTCAAAATACAAATTTTATAATTCTTAATATTACACAAATAAAGATATTAATGGTCTACAATGTTGCTGTTTTTGCATTCTTTTCTAGTCTGTTTTGTCTATTGTGCGCTGCTGTAAGCTGTGTTCTACTGTGATCCTGAGCTAGTCAGTGTGCTGGGGTTGTTTGACTGTTCCTGTGCCTGCTCAGAGCTTCTGTTTTTTCTGTCCCTGCTGGTTTGCTATGGTCTATCTATCTGTTGGCCTGTTGTGTAGCTGTTCTGCATTCCTGAGCTTGGTTCTGATGTGGTGGCTACAATGCCGGTGTCTTTGCTCTGGTGGAGTTTGTGTTTCTGTGACCCTGGGACTGTTCTGATATGGTTCAGATTGCTATGATGCTGTTTGCGTTTGGTCTGGTCAGTTTTTCAGTTGCGGTTTTGCTGATTTGCTTTGCTCTGATTCTGTGTTGCTGAGTGCTAGGTTTTATGGGCTGATCCTTGAAGCATTCTTCTCAGCAGGTGCTGTTCTTCAGGGACCTACTGGTGCCTGCTCTGCACTGGTTGTGCTGCTGGTTTGGGTGCTGTACAGTAGTGGTGTGGTTTGGTGTTGCTGTTTTGGTGGGCTGCGAGGTTGTAATATTGTTTAATTTTTTTTGGACAAAAATTGTAATATTACAGCCTTTTTTAATGAAAATATGTAACTTTATATATATGTTAATGTTTCTATATTAATTTAAGTGAAAAAATGCAAAAAAATTTATTTTTTATTTTTTTGGGGTATTTCTGGCACCGGTTTGGACCAGAACCGGTGCCTAAAGTGGGGTTTTTTACACCGGTTCTTGCTTAAAACCGGTGCCAATAGTGTTGATAATAAAAAAAAAAGATTTCGCGCCTTTGAAGTTGGCAAATTACCTTTTTCGTCTAGTGACTTGATGTAATAATATGAAGGGCTAGTTTCATAATTAATTTAACCAACATAAATTAATAATGAGATTTTGACAAATATTAGTTGAATAAATAACCAATCATCCAATGAAATAATTTATCCAACACTTACTTATGCACATTTGAATATTATAACCTTCCAATATGAAGAATAATATTTGAAGCACAAGTATGAACATTTAAGATTTTAATTAACTTCCAAAATGATTAAAACTCAAAATTTTTTCATATGGATTTTAGCAAGTTAAGATTTAATCATTTAAACCAGTAAAGATTGAATCTTTAACTCTTTTAAGGGCTTCAAAAATCATATTCAACATAAACTTTCACACTACAAGCAATTTATTTGAAAGAATGAGAAATTCCAAGTTTATGTGAAATTAAGAGCTATCCAACTAAGCAACCAATTTACATCATAAACATGCTTAATATGGAATGAAATTGCTAAAGATTAATGGTATAATCAAACACATAATCCAACAATTCCATGCCATAATTAACCAAGGTTTAAAGATTTAAAAATTTTCGTTTGAAAAGAAAAATTCTTCGACAAACCACTTTCTAGGTGGATTTTGATTTCTAGAAGGCCATTTTTAATTACGTTGTGGGTACAGTATGATTTACAATATTGATTCCACCCAAAAAACACTATTCTTTGGTCAAAATCTGGGTTCGTAGTCAAAAATTCGCAATAATACGATTTTAATCAAATGAAAACGAGGTCCTAATCTAATTAGGTTGCTAATCCAAAAACTTAAATCCATTTTTAATCACCTTAATTAATTTTTAGTTGTAAAAATTAAATGCAAGAGGCTTTTATACCCCTGTTGGGTTTTGCGGTGTTCGACACCGCGCAGAAACAAAACCCGCAAAAAGGATCGCATGCATAATAATTACAACTAAACAACATAACATGAAATTAATGAAAACATAAACACATAAAGGGAAGAGAGAGAAAGTAAGGATAAGACTAGCACACCCTTGACGCAAGTGCAAGCCCTCCTTTGTCTTCCACCCTCGCACCTAAACTGGCCCCTACCTCGTAGCTTACACGAGACTAGACCAAATAAATCTAGAGTATTACGAACTTAAGGTTTTCTCACTCTTTTGGGAGATACCGTTTGAGTTTAACTTAATTGAGAAATCTCATTACCCATGGTGAGTATTTATAGGGAAATGCTCCCAAAAGATTTCATCAACTTTTCATGCGGGCGAGTTGTTGAAATGTTAAACTGAATGATTAATTTAATTCTAAATTAAATTAGTAATTACAAATCAATTAGAAATTAACAAGTGGCAAGAGGAGAAGGGGAGGGTAGGTGAGGACCACAAGGGAGGACCTCATCTCCCTTGCTCCCCAAGCCAAACTCCCTCCACTAATCGCCTCCACTCATAAGCGGCAAGTTGGCAGCCTGCCTTGGGCACCAAGGCAACCACACTGGCACTCGGTCCCTCGGCTGGGCCTGCCTAGATGGGCGCTGCCGCACTAGCCCGCAAAAGCAAGCCGCACGCATATGCGGGATGCTTGTTGCTGGGCGCTGCTAGATACGCACCATTGCTTGGTGCTATCAACAGCTTGCGGATGCTAGGCGTGCGAGCGGCTGGGCGCACCAGCCCGCAAGCATGCTAGGCCAGCAAGCCTAGCACACACTTGCATGCTGGGCTTGCGGCACAGCCATGACTTGCGGCTAGTGGCCATGGCTAACATAACACTCTCATGATCCGGCTAATGCGAGGCTACATCTTAGCGTTGACTTGTTGTTTGACTAATTTCTTTTCTCGTCGATTCCTAAAAATGAACTAGACGCTGGACGCTCGGCTTCGATGCTCTAAGCTCGGAATCCGACGTCTTAGTTTGTAAAATCTTTATCGACGTATTTAATCCTACGGATTTATTCGTCGCCTTTGTTCAGTTACACGATTGGTTGTGACTCGATGGGGACAGTTAAGAGCAAGCTATAATATTATTTTTTCATTAATATTACTAATCAGAAGTGGCCTCCAGCAAGGCATTCCGATCACTTGACCTCACTGAATATTTAGTTTTCCTAATTAATTTCGGACCTTCTATCGGAATAATACACTTCTTCGATTGACACTATTCCTTTCATGGGTGACATCTTGTCGAATCAAATTTGTTTTTTTTGACAACCTCCACATTCTCAGGGAGCCCCGTCGAAGACCGTTACGTCTTGAACCCTCATATCAAATCAATGGACAACCTCTGCATTCTTAGAGAGCGCTATTGAAGACTACTTCGCTTCGAGCCGTCTTCAAAATCTTATCGTCTATGAAAGGAATGGTGTCCTTTAAACAACTGTATTACTTCGGTAGAGGATTCGGAATTAATTACAAAACTAATTATTCAGTGAAGTCAAGTGATCGGAATGCCTAGCTGGAGGCCACTTTCGATTAGTAATATTAATGAATAATTAATATTACAACTTATTCTTAACTGAACCCTTCGGGTCACACCCAATTGTGTAACCGAACCGAAGCGACGAATTAATCCGAAATATAAAATATGTTGATAGAGGTTTTACGAACAAAGACGTCGGATTCCGAGCTAATAGTGTCGAAGCCGAGCGTCGAAAGTCGAGTCGAATTTATGAGTCGACGAGAAGGAAAAATCAGCAAAACAACTAGCCAACGCGCGTGAAAATCCTAGCCTCGATATGGCCTAACTAATCGAGGGCTAGGTATGCTAGCATGGCTAGCAGGGCTCCTTGCCGCAAGCCCAGCATGCATCGCAAGCACTGGCTAGGCGAGCTGGCCGAGCAGCCATGAAGGCAAGGCTCACCAGCATGGCTAGCATGCATGCGGGGAGGTGCACCAGCAAGGTCAGCAACAGCAATAGCAGCACATGGTGAAGGATAATTAGGTCGTTGGACTAACTACCCTCAACCAAACAATATTTATAAACCTACACCTACACTAAACAAGTTTAGTGGTAAGTAGAGGGTCGAACCACGGAGACGACATAAACACTATCAACACCACCACCAATTAAGCTAGGTCAAAAAGATAGGATGGATAGAACAATAAACAAAAATGAGATTTATATTAAGTTAAACTAACACCAAGGGAGAGGGTCAAACATGACAATGATCTTCAATAAAGTTAGGCAATGGAAATGAGTTTACATGCAAACCAAATATCTCATATAAGGCAATACCAACAATACCATCTAACCACCTATCGGGGTCAAAGGCTTTCCCAACTTAACACATGCTCATACTATCGTCATAAGCTGTGAAAGTTAAGGTTTTTGCATAGAATCGATCACCTAATGGATATCCCTAAGTTACACTATCGTCATAACTTAGTTCAATCCACCCAATTACAACACATGATTGGCCATTCACATGGAGTAATTAGTAAAACATGGTTACAAGGTATATTTAATCACATATAACCAACATTTGTCTAGCCTAATACATTCAAGATTCACCACATGCTATCACCAATCCCTTAGTAAAGGGAATTACTCACTAATCATGAACAACTAACACAAAACCCAACAAGAAGAACAAAGAGAAGCAATTAAACTAAACAACTACTCTAATCAAGCAAGAAATTAAGAAAGAACAATAAATGAGATAGAGTTTAGAATGCTCATTGAAGTATTGAAAAGGAATCCAAAACAATGTCACTTTGCATCTTCATCTTCTTCAATCCACCATTGAAGCTCTTCACTTTCTCTCTCTAAAATACCCTAAATTACTCTTAATCTACATTGCAAAGTATAAAAACAAAGATTAAAACTAAATCTAAGCCTAATTTATGTGAAGATTGATGGAGAGATGTTAGGGTTTAACCCCTCAAAGAGGAGAGAGAAAACCCCAAAGAAACCCACCATCCAAACTTATAAAAAGAGGAGAGGAAGAAGCGTTTAAAAGACCCGTAGCTGCTCGTGCGCGCCCGCGATATTTGCCTGCGCGCCCGCGCACTGGGATTGGCCTGACAGCGACATTCATTTTCAAACGGCCATAACTTCTGTTCTAGGAGTCTTCTATGGGCGTGAAACCTACCGTTGGAAAGCTCTTTAAGTCTAGTTTCCAATGCAACTTGAATCACCTCAATCCAATTTGTAGATCAAAAGTTATGGCTAAAAGAGTGAACAAAGGTTAGTTTCGGAGTTCAGGCCCTTGAGCGCCCGCGCCTATCTTAGGAGCGCCCGCGCCTATCTTAGGCGCGCCCGCGCCTAAGCCGCGCCCAAATCGCGCCTACATTCTGCCTCCTTCAATATTTTCAACCCCAATGTTAGGCACGCCCGCGCTTGGCTTGGCGCGCCCGCGCCATTCTGAAAGCGCGACCTGCGTTGTCCGCATGGCCTTGCTTGCTTGCTCCTTAACTTCCTTTGTAGCTCTTCAAATGAACTCCAATTCTCCAAGCTCTTCATTCTCTCAAAATCAACTCCAAAATCCTACAAAACACGAGGAAAAGCACAAAAACATAATAAAGAGAGAAACATAGCAAAAGGGGTACAAACAAGGGACAAACGTAGAAAAATACGGCGATTAGAGGATCTAAATAGTGGCATAAATGCCACTTATCAGCACACAGCACAGCAGCCCGCATTGCATGCGAGGCTTGCTGGCTGGGCTGTGCATGTGTGTGGGCTAGTTGGCAGGCCCAGCTGAGCACCGGCTGTCAGTAAGGCGTGCCTTGGTGCTCAAGGCTAGGCGCCAGCTGGCGCCACATGGTTGTTGCCGGATATTTCCTTGCGGAGCAAGGGA